TGTTTTTTTCCTGTCAGCTGTTTTCTCTCTTTTATAAAGGTCTTGATGTTCATTCTTCACTGGTTCATACTCTCTGCAACATAAAATGTATTTCTGGTCTTTTCAAGCCTTCCTAACTTTCTCCTTCCAACTTTAAGCTCTTTCTAATTTGTCCTTTTAGCCTGCCTTCTGTGATTACTCACACCATCTTTCAGTCACCTTCAACTCTTGTCTGTGTGGGTCTTCTTCACCATCTCCAGGTATCTCTTTCCATCACACTCTGACTTTATTTAATGCATTATACAAGAATTAACTCTTCACTTTTTCTTTTGTCAAAGTAATCCTTAACCTTTTTTTATTCCATTCCCTAAAAAGAGCTCCTGAACATAAATGTTTATAATTCTGTTTGGGCGTCTCTTCTCTTCTCAAAATATCCAGCTCATTATATTGGAGGCACTCAATATAATAAAAAGAATAAGTAACTTTATCTGTGCCAGATATATTAACTCATAATAGTGCTTACAACAACTCTGTGAGGTGAGTACTATTATTATTCTTAGTTTATAAATGAGAAAGCTAAAGATATGAAAGGCGATGTAACTTGCTCAAGGTCACACAGCTAGGTAAGTGGTAGAGCTGGGTTCTGAATATGAATAAAGGTTTCAATGTTTGTGTTTTTAATCCCTATGCTCTACTGTCTTTTTAAAGACAGTGATCTGGCTATCATCTTTTTCCACTTTAATCTTCTCTTGGTATTAGTTTCCATTTCTTTCACCCAAGGAACATTCATAGATATAGCCCAGATCTTAACAGACAATTACTAACACTTAACAGAAAAATAATTTTGCATCTCAATTCTGTAGCGATTTCTTCTCTCAACTAAGGTAATGATTGCGCCTAAATAGGGTCAAAACATCAGAGCAGTTTGGCCAACTTGGTCAAATATACTTAAGAAAAAAACGAAAAGCCAGAAAGAAAGAAAAATAATTTAAGCTTTTATGTATAATGAAATCAATATTAAGAAAGTAGATGTGACATTATTTTCCTCTCTGGAATAGACAGATAGCAACTGATATATTTGCCCAAAAATGTACCTTCTAACTTTTCCAAGAAATGCTTCTACTCTAAGTCCCCTCAGTTTGGAGATATGAAAGTTCAAGCCAATCCTGCTTCTCTGGTACCAATTATCTATTAACAGGTGCATGCCTGATAGCAGCCGGGCCAACCAGAGCTCTTCTCTGGGATTTTTAAACTTTGGCTTAGAGAGACTCCACTCCAGTTTCCCTTTTCTCAATTCTGTAGGAGTGTCTTCAATTCTGAATAGAATAGAAATGCACTCTAGCCTGGAGAAAAAGCTGGTTTATAGTAGACACAAAGGGAACCAATAAACAGAAACAAAGTCACCTAGAGGACTCCCTGTCCACCCTTTGGTTACCTGAGTCAATAAATTCCTTCTTTGCCTAAGTTGGGTTTCTGCTAGTCAAAGCCAAAAGAGTTCTGCGTAAGGCATTCTCTCTCTCTCTCTTTTTTTTTTTCCTGAGGACTGAAAGTTACAGGGTGGAATTTATAGTTTGAATCATGGTGGCTTAATCCAAAGGTCTTTGTGCACTCAAAGTTCTTTCTAAATTTTAGATCTGTTAGTTCAACAGAAGCAGCTTAGTATATTGAAAAGAATACCAGTGAAGAGGTTTGAAGGTCCAGAAAGTTAATTTTCCTGTCTGAACCTCTGATTTCTCACCTATAAATAGGGTCAATATTTACCTACCTATCATCACACATTGGGTGGCAAGAACTAATTGAACTGATACACCTGTAAAAATCTTAGAAAGTACTAGATCCTGAAAGGAAGACAAAGCAAGTATTATCATAATTTGTTCAAAGAGAAAAAGCTTTAGAGAGTTCAACAAATTAAATGTAGATGGGTATGCACATTGTCATCACCTTCCTCAATTGCACGTGACGGGCTTCACTGTGTGTTTCCAAAACCACAGTAGACTCAGCCCCTGTGAATAGGAGCAGGCTGGAAGTGAGAGAGAAGTTGACAATCTTGGAGGCATCTCTCCAGAAATGAGGATGTGAGTAGGTGTATAAATGCCCTATTTGCTTGTCCTTCAGTGAGTTCAATCTGAAGCATGTTCTACATGGTCCCTCATAGGTTCCCCAGGGGAATTTGACCCCGATTGTCCTATGTGGTAACCAGCTAAATAAATATACTTTATTGACTTTCCATCATTCCTAACGTCACTCTTCCTGCTCCACTACTTCTATTTCTTCTGATCTTGTCCCAAATAAATGACCTGAAACCAAGATGGCATTACTGAGACTGTGCTTTCAGCAGACTCAGGGATAAGATAGCATAGTAAATGTTTAATTTCCTAAATCAACAAAAAGGAGAAAAGGCATAAATAGTTGTCAATTATGAGGACTCATTGCCCCTTCCTCTCAAATATGACTATGAACTCCCAGGAAAGTTAGGATTTTAGTTTGATAAACTTTGAATTACATTGTACCAGAACAATAAAGAATTTCTATTTGGTCTTGAAATGAAGATAACATACTTAATTAACATGCACATATAGACACAAACTCAAACATACATTCTCACCCAGTCTGTGTGTAGTATTTCCAGATCATTCTTCTTATTAGTTGTCTGATCCTAGAGGGTAGTGGTAAGAAAGAAGACTGTTCACCTCAGATAAATTTTTAAATTACATGAATAGATGGATAGTCAATAGATGGACTATTTTTATAAGTTTGTTTATAAATAAAATGATATTTCTAATTTTTATTAATGTGCCATTAAACATATTTATACTAGAATTAAATGAAGGAAAAGTCCATATCAATCTTTCAAGAAGTCAGCTTCTTTTTCTACTGAGTTCAAAGTAATCCACTGTCTTCTCTAACTATCCTACTTTCGAATCTGCTATCAAATATTTCATGAAATGGAATTGATTTTGACCTACATTTGGGATGAGATTGCTAATACATAACTCTGTGCTGTCCAAGAAAACAATATTTTCAAGAGAAAAATAATTCAGCATAAAGCAAACATGACTACCGTGGTTTGTGCGGAAGGCTACTATTTTTGAATTACTAATGACTATTTTGTCTTTATATTTTCTTTTCCTTTTTGACCTTTTCTCCTTTTAGCAGTTAGGCCATTTCATGAGGAAAATATAGAGCAACAAATAGAAAAAAATAAAACAAAAAAGAGTCTCTTTCTGACTTCTGCTCCTTAGAGGAGTATGTTTATGTCTGTTTATAAATAAAGTGATGTTTCTAATTTTTATTAAATAATAGAAGACAGTGAAATAGTATTAACATATTAGAATTAAACATAGAAGGAGGTTCACATCTTATTTTAAAGAAGTTGACTGTTTTTTACTCTAAGCCGTAAACTAAATGTATCAACTCCACTTCCCCTCCTTAGAACAACAAAAGTTGCTCATAACATTAATGAAAGATGTAAGAGAAAATATGAGAGAGGACAACCTTCCTACTCCACATACCATATAGTAAAGATTCCTTATGCATATAAGAGGGAAAAGAGTTAGAGGGGAAGTTTCGAGTGTACCTGTGAATAGTCCAGGGTCAAAAGTCCTTTATTTTGCTTCCACAACTGAATCCCAGAGAGGCAGGAAGATGAAACCTATTTTGCCTTGTTGGGATCCAAAAGGAAAAAGACATGTGCCTACTTTCCTAGTTTAAATCACTAAGAAAAGATAAGACCTTAGAAAGCTGAATTGACTAAGTAGCATGTCTTGGCACACAGGACCTTAAAATAGACTAGCTAGGATTTCCACACTTTGTGGAAAGAAAAATTTATAGTTTCTGTATGTAGACCAGGAACATGGAAGTATTGAAGACAGTTGCTGAATCTGATGGAGTCTTGTTGACAAGAACAAGGAAAAGCTCGGTGATATGTAGGGGACAATGACTGAGGCCCAGGTGAGATACTGGGCATCTCTGTAGATTCCAGTGTTCACAGCTGATAACAAGGTCAGGTGTCACCCCTCTGTTACCAATACCTTGGTACTGTGTAAGCTCCCTGGAGTGTCTATGTAACTCAGAGGGAAAATGGAAGGCCACTGAATTGGCTGAGATTAAGTTTTCACCTCTCTGGAAAAATTAGGACACAAAATAGAATTTATGTTAAATTATAGAAAATAAAGGACTTTTTGGCATACTTGAATGTGTATGAATACATGATGTACATACTAATCATAATTGTGTTTTTCATAGAAATTTTGCTTTTTTCAAATGACATATTTCTTCTTTCTTATAAATTAAAAAATTTTAAAAAGCTCCTTACAGACAGCATTAATGTGACTTTTCGTTTTATTTAACCATTGTCAAACCAGAACAAAACAGAACAAAACCAAAACCAACCATGTGGAAGATTTAAAAGAAACTGAAGGGTGCTTACATTTTTTTTTTTTTTTTACTTTTGCCTCCTCTATCTGGGAACATGAAAATTATGACAGTTTTATTTCTGTACCCTTAGGCGTAAAACTCATATATTGTCTTCACATTACCAAAAGCTTTTGGTCTGATTCATGAGTGTCATGATGCAGAAAGATGGTTGCGTTTTTGCCTGACTCTCATATACCATTTGACAGCCTCCCACTCAGAGAACTGGCAGACTGGCTGGGCAGTTATTGTGCTCTACAAAGAAAATTATTACAGAGAAATATTCATACAACAGGAATGGAAAAATGAAACTCACAGATTTCAACACAACATGAAATGATTTACTTTAGACAGTGAAAATCTCCATGTTAAGGTTAATTAAGATCCTTTTCATTTAAATTCTTTTAAATTTTCTTTAAAGAAGAGAATTTTCTTTCATTAAGAAAATTAGAATAATCTCTTCACTCTCACTCCTCTCTATGTATAACTATTACTTAAATTATGATAATTATGCCTAAGAAATGTCAGCCCTGATTTATCCCCATATGGTGCCCCCCTCTCACTTCTATTTCCATTCACATATTCACTTTGTAAATTGCTTTTTTCAGGTTATTTAAAGTGAATAGATTGCACCGAAGGCCACAATTAGCAGCCTCCCTGTATCCATGACCAATGCAGCGTGACCTTACAGATTCTTCCAGCAAGAGGTAAGTCCGTTTCCTTAGTCCATGGGCCTGGACTGGCCTTGTGACTTGCTTTGGTAAAAGAATTTGGCAGAAGCGACACTGCTGCTTGTGAGCTTAAGCCTCAGGAGGTCATGCGTGCTCCTGCTTTTTCTCTTGAAACCCATACCACGATACCACTGCCATGTGAACAAACCTGGATTGCATCAGGGGTTGGGGCTTCAACATGAATTTTTTTGGGGACATAATTCAGTTCATAGCAGTGTCTAAAGGGGTCACATGCTTCATTCCCTGAGTAAAATGTAGCTACATTTAGATTTTCCTAACTAAGGGGATTAATAAAACTCATTTAAAATATTCCTGGAATTGATGATTCAACAACCATTGTAGTGATAATTCTTTTAGAGTCAATAGGTTCTTGCTTATGTCTACTAATAAATCTTTTTTATTAAATCCAGTTCAATTCAACATTTACAACTCTCTTCTGAACAGTTAGGGAATGAATGATTGGTGCAGCATTAAAATTTTATTTCTCAAAGGCGGAATGGTTGCATCATTGCTTTCGTTCCTTATTGTGTTTGTTGATATTTAACTTTATGATTTCTAGTACTATATCTAAAACCACCAGTAATACCAGTTAGGGTCTCTGGAGGTTGTTTCTTTTTAACAACATTTGAAATTTTCTTAAATTGGATAACTGATTACAGGAAGCAAGCTGTTCCCATGGTATCCATGAACTAAAATTCAGAACTACGTAAACCTCTTCTTTCACTGGAGGAAAACGCACATATGAGAAATTTCTTTTAGGATAAGAACCAAAAGTATACTAATTTTAGTTGATATAACTAACTGATGTTTACATTAGTACAGGACCTGATCTTAGACATCTTTGTTTTGGCTGTAATCAGTCACTTTCTTAAGAGCACATTGTACTGATATCTGCCAGCTTTCTTTTCTGCATTCTTGAATTAACTTTATTGATTCATTTATTCTCTGAATTAATAGCTAGTGATATCCTACAGTGTGTTAGGTACTATTCTAGGTTCTGAGGGTATGGTGGTAACCAATGAGACAAAGACCTTCTTCCTAGGACTCTCACTTTCTAGTGGGAGGATATCAACACAAAAATGAATATACAATGTACTGTCTAGTACCATTATGTGTTATGAAGAAAAATAAATCAAGATATGTGGATAGAGAGTGGAACTATTTTACATAGAAGGGTCAAGGATAGTATCCCTGAGGATATGAGATTTGAACAGAGATCTGAGGAAGTAAGAGAATTAGATATACATATGTCTGGAAGAAAGTTGCAGGCAGAAGAAACAGCAAATGTCAAGGCCTGAAATCATACAACTTTGTTTAAAAACTTAGCTCAAGTACTATTTCTTACTCCTCTAATTTTTTAAAAAAAAATGTTTAGTTATGTTTTTTTTGTTTTATTTTGTATTTTGAAAGTGATTTCAGAATAACAAAGGAAAGCTTTATATAAAAAGACTGAAGAATGTTCTCCCTGGAGATTTCTAAGTTAGGTTGCTTAAATATCTGAAAGAATTTGTCTGACTTTGCCAGGCCCATCACAATGTCCCAAAGCTGGTATAAGGTTGGAATTTGTAGGCCTACCAGTCACCGTCTGCTCTTCTGCCTATCATTAATCATTAAAAGTGTTTATTGGCACCTAAGATATTCCAGGACAGCATTAGAAACTGAGGATGCTAATTGACAAGTAAAACATACTCTTTGACACCAGAAAATTGTTTATTTCTACTCGAGATCAGCTGTCAAAATGGTAAAGCCATAGGTTCTGGATTCCAACAACAAGGGTTTATATTCTGGCTCTGCCACTTGCTAAAATTAGATGTTATACAACATATAAATATGCTTATTTATTTATGCTTCAAATTTCCAGTTTGAAAACGGGGGTTCATTTATTCCACAAAATATTAATTGGGACATTTTTAGACACTATTGTAAGCACTTTGGGATACAAAGGTCAACAAAACAGACAAAAATAAAATAGTATTTAATTAATGGAAATGTGTTAAGGATTGTATAAGGTAATATGTATGGTTCCTGAAGCACAATGACTATTAAATAAATGTTAGCTATAGATTTCTAATATTATAAAACTAGTGCTTTATATAAAGCCTTAACAAAGAGTAATCAGATTGAATTATTATTTTATGGAGCAGGAGGCAACCTCCATTGTAGCCTGAAAATACAAAGGATGTTGATAAAGTTGTGAATAATTAAAATAGATTAATGAAGAGAAATAAAAATGTCTAGATGTCTGATGTCTGTCTATTCTTAACTTTTGAGGTTGACACTGAGTGGCAGCCATGCTATTCCCTGTTCCTTTTCCTGTCTGTGACTAAACTGCAAGGTGCCTTCACAGTATACATCTTCCTGTTTTCCATTCTTGTTCTCAGTTTTTTTTAGGTTATCATACTTCATCTAAACAGAAGTACTACACTTCCTAGCATTCCTGGCAGCCAGAGATGGCCAAAGAGATAAAATTAGAATTTACTAGGTAAAACTTCTAATTAGGGTCTTTCAAAGAGGGAGAGACTCAGCTTATGTACGTTTTACTCTTTGCTGTTCACCCTTTCCCTTCTCTAGATCATTAGCTCAGTGCTGGATGTGAAGTAGCCATCTTATGATAATGAGGTAACCATACAAAAAAGAAAGCAAACACAAGGATGGTGAAATGGGAGGCTGGAATGAGCCTGGCTCCCAAGTGGCACTGAAGAGTTGTCAAATTAGCCCTAGATTTCCTACTTGGAACCTCTTGTTAGGTATGCAAAACACATCTAAATTTGTTTAAGCCACTGTTACATTTTTGGGGGAGATGAGGGATTGTTTCTATTATTCGTGACTAAATGTATCCCCTAACCAATATACAGTTTCTGATGCCACTATCTATTAGAGATCCTTCATGGGCCTTTAGGGGCGACTTTTGTATTTTTAGGTGTTTAGCAGTTGCTCACATTACAAACCCTATTTACTGACAAATAAATGTCTGATTCTGTTTCTGCTCCCGAATTCAGTTTTGTCATCTTTTGTAGACTTTTTGTACCACATTTGACATTAATTTGAACCCACAGGTGTAAGCTCAGTGTAAGAGGATGGAAAAAACCTTTCCTCCTAAGGAATTCTCAGCATGGTGATGGATACTCAGTGGATGCTCCAGGAATACACATGGGTGAGGCTGCTGATGTCATTCATATCAGAAACAGTTTTCTGCTACAGCAATAGTGGCATCTATGTGTCATTTACATGTAGAATTATAGCTTTCTCACACCTGTTTATTTCCCATTTTCAAGAAGTCTTGCTTATCAAACTAGAAAATCAGCTGATTTTAGTATAAATGAATAAAAGAGTTTTGGTTTTCCATTATTTAAAAGGGAAACAATCCAAAAAATTTTTTAAAATTCATACATTTATTTTAGTTATTTTCTTTAAAAATGGATTTTTTATCTGTAAGAAAACTTACTGATTAGCCCAAAAAGAAATGTGAGGGTTCAGTGAAAAAAATTCTTTTGGTCAACTTTCCGCAAATATTTTCTCCTGCCACCCCTTTTTCTTTCTTTCATTCCTAAATGTAACTTGAAAGTGCACATGGGAAAAATCTATTTTTACATACATTTGGTTGGAAATCAAACACTGAGGGAAAAGCCTAGATTTCAACTGCACAGCCCTATTTTAAATTTGGACTCAAATAGAGCATCATAGATCAGGAATATAACCACTTTGTGTAGATTGGCTTTTTGTCTCTGAGTGCCATTCTTAAATATCCATCACTCCTGGAAAGGCTTTGTCAGGAATTGTGAGCCATCATCATTTCCCTCATCTCCTCAGCTTCTGTGCTGCAGCATGCCAGCCAGCTCTTTTTTCTCTAGTTCTTTACTAGAGCAGCATTCCTTAGGCATTTCTTAGCACTTGAAGAGCTGCAGTCAGCACTTTCCTGGAGTGGGAAGATCAGGATTCCATCCAAGGAATTGCAGGAAAAACTGAAATAGTTATGGGCAGGGAATCAGTACATATTACATTTCTCCATATCAACTGAAAAATTGTCACTGAACCCTCACATTTCTTTTTGGGCTAATCAGTAAGTTTTCTTTCAGAGCTCAATGTGCATGTACACTGTGGATGTCGGACTTACCCTATTCTAATGATCCAAAGAGGTCTATTTAAGTAATCTGTTACAGTGACAATGCCATAGTCTTAGAGACAAAAGACTCTGAATCCAGCCCGTTCTTATCAACATGATTGTTGTGAGGGCTGACAGTGAGACAATATGTAGGGGATGGGGGTGGGTAGTACAATATGAAGCACTATAGACACGTAATTATACAATCTCATCACTGAAACAGAACTCACCAGCTTTCCCTATAGGCATGCCTCATAGAAGGGAAATAATTTTACTTCCATGTCAGGTTCCTATAAGTAGCACCTATGTTTGCCAGGCCAGAGGAGATCTCAAAATGTCCCACCTTGTAGTCGTGAGGTGGCATAGTGATAAAGACTTAGACCATGGAGTTCAAATCCTGACTTCTTTGTTCACTAATCATGGGGTCTTGGGTTAGTTACTCAACCTTTCAAGCCTTAAGTATCTCATATGTAGAACTGTGATATTGATTGTATCAATACTTAAGGTTGATTTAAGAGATTATATAAGACAAGCCTTGTGAAAGTGGTTAGTATACAGTAAATTATGAAATTAACTATTATTAATTTGTTATTACCAAAGACAAAAGTTAATCATGTGATACTGAAAGGATGCCTAACATTTTATTTTTCTTCCCTATGAAAGCAGTTTGCCAGAGGGCCTGGGGTACTTTCCCGAAGAGCTCATGCCAGCACTAGCTGCTGGATAGATGTTTTTTGTTTTGTTATATTTTGTTTTTTATGTTTTTTTTCTATTGTTGTTGTAGTTGTTGTTTTGCTTTTTTTTTTTAACCCACCCTCTTTTTTATTTGCCATTTAGTTTGAGGACATTTTAATTTGAATTCAGCCTCTTGGCCTCTACCTTCTCCTCATTCCACATTCTAACAGAAATGAAGAATGATGAATATTTTACAGATATTATGACTATATTTTCTGCCCAGTGTCTGACATTTTATGGTTTTATTTATGCATTTATTTATATGAATAATCTTATGAGAGAGAAATAATAAAACCACATTAATTATACATTTGTTTAAATTTAATTTTTGAGAAAAAGATAAAAAGATATGAACTATATTCTGTTTTGAAAATCTCATATATGTGGTCATAATACTCATGGATTTATGAATTAGATGGATGACATTAACCTCATTAAGTTTTCATAAGGTACAGTTTAAAACACTTTATTTCCTACAAAGTGACTAAGGAAATAGTTATTAGATCATAAAGCTCAACACCACTGAAAAAACAGGTTGGAAAATCAGGTAAGAGAATTGAAAGACTAATTTCAGGGAATCTATTATTGTGGGAATTTTTTTTTGTGGGAATTTTTTAATGCACTTGTTGAAGGCCTGTGTTTATTTTATGTTAATCTATTAATAGGGATGCTATTGACGACCTGATCCAGATGGGGACAATTAGAATTTTAGGACCAAAGAGATTTGGGAAGGGTGGAAGTTAATAAGGAAATACATGTATTTCCTTGATAGATTTGCTCATATATGAACTTGGAATGAGCTAATAGGAGATGGCTCACATCTACATACCTTCGTTTTTACTATACTTATAAGCACATACCTTGCTGAGATGTCTAGTCCATCAACAAGTGCCACACAAAGGACCTCCCAGGTATTCCATTCACCTGTCCTCTTTTTCAGGATATTATCTTTATTTTTGGGATCCCCATTTCCTTATTTCTTCCTCACTCATTAACCTGTTTCATCCCTCTGTTGTGTTCTTCCACATATACTCTAGAAAGGCTGTTCCCTACAAGATCTTTAGAGACCTCTAGTATGGCAAATCCCATGGGCAATGTTCAGTTCTCTTCATACTTGATTTTTCTCTGGCATTTGATACTACTCCTTCAAGTTTCTCACAATTATATATTTTTTGTAGGATCCTCCTCTTCTATTTAACTCTTAAATGTTGATATCTCTATGGTTAAATCTTTGATCCTTTCTTCTCATTTTATAAATATTCCTCAGGTATATAATAGATATCCTCTTACATGCCAATGACACACACACACATATTTTTTTAAATAATCTTTTTAGTTTTCAATAACTGTTGACATACGATATTATATTAGTTTGAGGTGTACAACATAGTGATTGGACAAATATGTAGCTTATGAAATGATCACTGCAATAAATCTAGTACCCACCTGACACCATCCCTAGATTACATTGTAGTTCTGACAATATATTTCTTATGCTGAACTTCATCCCATGACTATTTTGTAACTACCAATTTATACTTCTTAATCCCCTCCCCTTTTTCACTAATCTCCCAACCCTCATCCCTTCTGGCAACCATCCAAATATTCTCTGTATCATTGAGTTCTTTTTTGTTTGGTTTGCTTATTTTTTTGTTTTTCAGATTCTGCATATAAGTGAAACCATAAGGTGTTTGTCTTTCTCTGCCTGACTTATTCTACTCAGCACGTGTTGCAAATGGCAAGATTTTATTTTTTTTTGTGCTGAGTGATATTCCATCATATATCTGTACCACCTGTTTATCCATTTATCCCATGATGGAAACCCAGGTGGCCTCCATATTTTGGCTATTGTAAAGAATGCTGCAATGAACATATGGATGCACATGTCCCTCTGAAATAGCATTTTGGGTTTCTTCAGATAAAAGTGAGATTATTGGGTCCTTCTTGGTCTCTTATTATAGTTTTTGTTTTAAAGTCTACTTTGTCTAATGTAAGTATTGCTACTCCAACTTTTTTTCATTTCCATTTTCATGAAATATCTTTTTCCATCCCTTTACTTTCAGTCTGTGTGCGTCTTTCAATCTGAAATGAGTCTCTTGTAGGCAGGGTCTTTTCTTACCAGACAGCATAGTTGGCAGGGCATAAGTAAAGGGTGGGACTGGGCTGGCCCCCCTCCCCCGCTGCCTTTTCCTTCCTAAAGAAGTTCCTTTAACATTTTGTAATACTGATTTGGTGTTGATGAATTCCTTCAGCTTTTTCTTGTCTGGGAAGTTCTTTATGCTTCAATTCTAAATGATACCTTTGCTGGGTAGAGTAACATTGGTTGTGGATCCTTATTTTCACCTCGAATATCACCTCGAATATTTCATGCCAATCTTTTTTGGCCTGAAAAGTTTCTGTTGAGAAATCAGCTGACAGTCTTATGGGAGATCCCTTGTAAGTAACTAACTGCTTTTCTCTTGCTGCTCTTAAGATCCTCTCTTGGTCTTTAACCCTTGGTATTTTAATTATGACGTGTCTTGGTGTGGGAAGTTTTCAGTCATTATTTCTTGAAATAGGTATCCAATTCCTTGTTCTCACTCTTCTTCTGGTACCTCTATGATGCAAATGTTGTACACTTGATGTCCATAGGTCGCTTAAACTATCCTCATTCTTTTTGGATTCTTTTTTTCTTGTTACTGTTTGATTAGGTGTTTTCTGCTATCTTTGAAATTGCTGATTCGATCCTTTGCTTCATCTAATCTGTTGATTTCCTCTAATGTATTCTTCTTTTCAGTTATTGCATTCTTCATTTCTGACTGCTTCTTTTTTATGTCTTTTATTTTTATTTTTATGTTTCTTATCTCTTTGTTGACATTATCGCTGAGATCATTGAGCATTCTTATAACCAGTATCTCGAACTCTGCATCTGGGAGATTGCTTATCTTCATTTCGTTTAATTCTTTTTCTGGAGCTTTCTTCTGTTCTTTCATTTGTGTTCCCATTTTGGCTGCCTCCCTGTGTTTGTGTCTATGTATTAGGTAGGGCTGCTATGTCTCCTGGTCTTAGTAGAGTGACCTTATTTAGTAGGCATCTTATGGGGCACAATAGCGTAGTCTCCCTGGTCACCTAGCCGGGTGCTCCAGGTGTGTCTCTTATGTGGGCTGTTTAGCCCTCTTGTTCTAGTTGAGCCTTGGTTGCTATTTGTATGTCAATGGGAGGGACTGACCCTCAAGCTGTGAAGACTGGCCATGACTACAGTGGAGGAGCAGTTGTGCAGGGGCTAACCCTATAGAACAAGATTCGCTTTAGCAGGGATCTGGTGCCTGCCCAGTCTGCCCTTTA